TCATTATTCTTTGTCAAATATGGCTTGGTCTATTTGTGCATATACGTATGTCTATTAAATCTATTTCATTTCCATAGCTATCTTGTTCTTTTTCTAATCCTTTTAAAGCGTTAATTCCCATTTTGTTTTGCTCACTTTATCAACCATATTCTTAAGCCCACTTTTTTTTCATTTTGAGTAGAGTTTGTTTAACTTTTTGTTGCCTCTAATGGCCCCCTAATTTCTGTGATGACAGTACTAGTATGTTTCTCCCCCACTTCATTCCTGAGCTCTTTCAGTTGTCTTGACATTTCTTCCTTGAGCTCTTCTTTTATATAAGTGATCTTTTTCATTAAGTTTTGTTGTTACTATTTGTCTATTCTCATTTGCTTGGCAGTTTCCTTGAGCTCTATGGCAACACAATCTTGTTATGTGTTCTTTGTCTATTTGTTTTCTCTAATCATTACCCTCTTTTCTTGCAGTATCTTTGTAGAACTCTTCTGATGGTTTCTTTTTTATTCTGACTCATATTTGAGACAAGCTTGTTCTTAACCAGCTATTTTGCAGAATGTTTATGGTGCTGGGGCCAGGCCATGATGCCAGCCAGCAGAGAGTCTCTTTCATTTACAGGGTGCACCTTATGACACACACGCATATGTGTATATGTTGATTTAACCCTGACTTCTTCCCAGAAGAAAGAAGAGATTGGCAGTTGCAAGACTGATTAGTATTGAACCTATCTGTTCCAATCTGCCTCCCCATCAGACTGCTTCCTACAGAGATGGCTCTCCCCTGCTTCTAGATGGAGCCCACCAGGATCCAGGGATGCTCTCACAGTCAGTACATTCTCCATACACAAGTTGTTTCCCCAAAGATGGTGTTGGATCTGCCCTCTTTGATTAGGTCTTCTCTGCCAGCCTTGTTTGAGGTCTTCAGCAGCAGACAATCTTTCAACATCTATCTGTCCCTGGTTGAAATGTCATTGCATTTAGAAGCCCTTCCTCAACAAACATAAAGTTTGCATTTCTGCTTCTCATTTTCCTTGTCATTTTGGAATGAATTCAGAAAGAAGTGGGCAGGCCTGTCTTAACACTGCCATCTTAAAGGCAGAAGTCCCTTAAAAGGCTGCAAAGCCCTGTCTCCCTCCCTCTGAATCTCCTGTACCTAATACTATACCTGGGGAAAAGAAGATGCCCAATAAATACTTATTCAATGAAATGATGACTAAAAGAATGAAAAATTCTCAAATGTAATAGCTGAGACATAACTACATTTAAGGCCTCTTTTCAAAAGAGCTTCAACAACTAATTCTCCTGGTTTTGCCTTGCAACAGCACAAGGTAGATTTCCCATGGTGATTTCTCATGGTTCACAGATCTCCTGCTCACTTTTCTCCCATCTTTCATTCTATTTTCTTAGAATCCTGCTGTCACTCACTATCTGAGCCAAGTCAGAGTACCTGGTACATGTGAAACAGTGAATTCTATGAGAAAACTTTATATAGAGTTTTGTTTTTCTTTCTGGTCTGGTATTTGGCTTTAGTTTTTATGGATGCATTTTGAATTTATTTTCCTTGGCCTCCTTCTAAAATTGGAAAACTTCTGTATCTTCTTTACCATGAATCATCAGAAAGAGAAAGGCAGAATGATTTCATTCTGCACCCTGTTTTGATAAGGAATGTAGATAATTGTTCGCATTTCCCTCAGCAACCGGCCCCCGGGTCCCACAAGGGTCAGGGCTCTGTCCAGATGCAGCCAGGAGGAAGGATCCTTTGAGAAGGGGAACAACAAAGATATAGACACTCATTTCAGTCCTTGTGAATTCCACGAGGGTCTTCACCATGGGTGTGACCCAAGAAAAGATCAGCTTGGCTCAGTCAGAACAGCTGTTGAGTCCAGGTTTCTTTCAGAGCCTTTGACTCAGGAATGTACTCCTAAGTCCCTTCAGTGAGAACAAGCAATATGTCACAGACTATTCCTTTGCCTCCCATATGGAACATAATAGGCACTTGAGAAGTATTGTGTTAATTTCTTATTTTCCTTAGGTTAAAACCAAAAACTGTCCTACTCGCTCAAAACACTTCAGTGTCTAACCCCAGACAAGATTCCTCGTTCCTTTTAGAGATCTTCAAGGATGGTTTTCTTTATTTTTTTCCCTCTGTCTTGAGTCTCTCAAATTCCTCCAACTTGCTGTGTACCCTTCTCATTGCTATGTTGCACATGTCAGCAGACATGAATTCCACAGACAAGTCAGTGGCCCATGGAGTGCCCATGGTGGCCGGCAAGACTTAGAAGGTAGGACAGTAGGAAAGAGGGGGCCTGAGAGAGGCAAATTACAGTCCATATTAGTATTCCTAACAAAATCACAATCACTATACATCTCTGCCCATAGCCAGGAGTATCAATGCTCTTTCATCTGGACATTCATTGATATTACCCTACAGCCCATATCACCAAAACAGAACTCCCTTTTATGTGCCTGAAAATCTGTGTTCATTCCCACTCTAGCCCTATGTGGGTTTTTCATTGGGGGCACCAAGCATCCTGGTCTGTCCAGAACACTCCCAGTTTGTCTGGTGTCCTGTTCAGTTAAGCATTTGTCCCTGTCAAAAGTGCTTTTTGTATGATAAATTATATGCTCTCCTTAGTTTAATTTAATGCATCATTTTCAAAAGGCAGCATGAGTCAGATTGCCTATGGTTATAAGAAATGTTCTTTTCTTCTTCCTACCTTTGTAGAAGAAGATTAGGACTCACCAAGACAATGAGACAGGCAGGGACCTGAAGTCCAGGCACACAAATGATCTCGGGCAGGTGATCAGGGAAAAGTTGACACCACCAGGGTGGCCAGACAGGCTCAGAAAAGTTCTGCAAGAATCTTGAGAGAAAAATCTATCCCAAAGATTAGGGGGGAGGGGCAGGTCTCCATGCTCAAGGGAGATATTGTGGGATAATACAATCCCAAGGTCAGAAAGAAGAGCATTTTTTAAGGAGGAGCATTTTGCATGGCCCTCTTTCCTCCTCCCTCTTTGCTCCTGAACATTTGGTCAGTGATTTCTCTCTATTTCATTTATGGCAATAACTTCAGGTCTTGTGGGTGGTCATAATGGTGATCTATGTATGCCATCTACAGTGGGCATGGATAATGAATCCTATTTTATTTCTTAATTAAGAAATTGAAAGTGCCGCAAATTACTGCAATTAACATGGATTTTCTTCCTCATTTATTTACTTATTTAAATGCCTGAAATTGCACCCTTAGCTTAAGCCAACTGCAGGGTTCAGAGCCTGTTAAAATATATAGCATTCATTAAAATATTTATTCTTCTCCGACAGTGAACTTGCAATTTGGAAATGGTGGTGATATCTTTGTATGTGAAATCCTTCCCCCAAAATATAAATCTATTGAATTCAGACCATTCAGCTTGGTAATTTTAAAAGTTGAATTTATTGTCATCCTTTGTGTGACTGAAATAAGCTAAGGTTTTCAAAAAGCTCTGTGTTATGTTGACCTTAACCAGTATTGTTGTTTTCCTTGTAAGTACTTGGGGATATGAACATCACCATGTTTTCAGAAGTTCAACGTTCACTGAAAGATAACAATTACAATATGAGGGTGGTTGAAGCCATCTACCTCTTTCAAAACAATAGTATTTTGAATAAACTATTTAGCTTCAAATTATCTAGTACTTTTGAAGATTCAACCTTGGTCTTCATTCTTGGGTTTTTGTGTTTGTATTTGGTTTTGTTTCTAACTGGTTTGCATGGAGACAGAGCTCAAGACACAGTGATGGAAATTAACCAAAAATATGCTTCAGAAACACAAACCCTTTGGTGTGGGTCAGCAGCCATGGGAAACTACACCCAGCAGGGGTGTAAACTGGTATGGTTTTACCAGAAAGCAACTGGGAAATAGCCTCTCAAAAACCTTAAAAGACGCAAACCCTTTGAAGTTCAGCTATTCCACTTCAAGGATTTAGAAAAGAATGAAGACTGTGTACCAAGATTTAGCTAACAACGACATTCATGGCAGCCCTGTTTATAACAAATAAAATAGGTAAAATAAAATACCAAAATATGCAGCAATAAAAAGGATTGAGTAAATTATAGTACAACCTTACATTGGAATAATAAACAGCTATTAAAAACTAAGTGGTTTGTATTAGTTATCGATGGCTACATTACTCCAAAACTTAGCAGCTTAAAACAACAAACATATATCTCCTCACAGTTTCTGTGGGTCAGGAATCTATAAGCATGGCTGAGCTGGGTCCCATGACTCACAGCCTCTCAGAAGCTACAGTCAAGGTGTTTGAATCATCTCTGGGCTTAACTTGGAGAGGATCCACTTTCAGGCTCACTCAAGTGGTTGTTGGTAGGATTCAGTTCCTCTGGCCTGTTGGTCAAAGGAGTCTCTCAGTTCCTTGCCTCAGTTTCACTGCCCTATTTTCTAGAGAGCAGCTCATGATGTAGCAGTTGGCTTCATCACAGAAATCAGACCAGAGCTGACATCCCATCATTCTTGCCATGTCCTATTGGATGGGAATAAGTCAGAATTCCAGCTCACACTCCAGGGGAGTTGATTATACAATGTGAGGATATGAGAGGGCAGGGATCATTGGAGACATCTTAGAAATCATCTACCACAGAGCTGAAGTTTATTTATGACAAAAGATTTTCATAATGTCTTGTTCGATGAAAGAAAAGCAGGTCACAAAGTAGTATGTGCAGTATGGTCCCAATTTTGTAAATTAAAAACAGTAGGAAAACATATATCCATGTATACATAAATGTTCATGAAATAATCTGTAAGGGTACCATGGGTTAATGGTGGTTATGCCTGGGTAGTGGTATGACAGATAAGTTTTATGTCCTATTTCCTAAACTGTATTTTCTGGTGTTTTCTAAAACAAGCATGTATTGTTTACAATTTTAAAAAGATTAAATGTTATTAAATTAAAAACAAAGCAATTAAATACTCTAGACTTCATGTTTCTGACCTCCATCCACGTCTATCTTTACAGCACTACTTCTTGCTTACTACCTGAAGTCAACCAAATAGAAGTTCACAGGACCCTTCATAGAATCCATTGATCGTACCGTGACCAAGGACATTGTGAGTACATTCTAGAACTTATTGCTGTGTTTGTGTCTTCTAAAACCATTATTATCACCAAAAATGCTACCATGGAAAAACAAATTATTTTTCCCTCTGAGGTCACTAGAACCACAACTATGATTGACATGAGAAAACTGAGTCCTCCCCTTGAGCCAGTGTCATCCCAACTCAATTCTGGTTGCTTCCAGGCCACAAGCTAGCATGACCACATGGCCACCTTCCCTGTAGAATTCCAAAAGGAGAGTTTCTATTTGTGTGTCAAAAATAGATGAACAGATCTGGCACTGCTGAACATATTTGTAAATTTGAAAAAGAAGAGGGGATGGGTAAGTGAGAAGATGAATTCATTTATAATCCCCACACTTCATTAGTTTTCTGTGTGATGCCACCAGGAGGGCTTGAGTTGGGATGCCACTGGTTCAGAGTGGGAATAACTTCTCTAGCAATGTAAATGGTATTTTAAGATTGCTTACTTATGAAACTACTGTTTTTCCAAACATAGATTTTTGGTTGTTTGACAAGTAGACAGCAGAGCCAAACACAGAACACTGAGTGTTACAGAGGTGAAATTAAAGAAATTCATTTGCAGTGCCAAGCTTGAAGGATGGTGAGCTAGTGGTCAAAATCTGAACTCCTCAATGGTTTGTAATCAATGGTTTTAAAAGCAGAGCTTGAGGGTTAGGGCTTAGGGGTCAAGGGCAAAGCTGATTGGTTATCTCTTGTGTAAGCTTCAGTGGTTTTCTTTGGTCTGATTAATTCAGTTCCTGATGTCATCTTGTCTGATGCTTTTGTCACTGTGGTCAAGTGATCTAACCAAGTTGAGGAACCAAGAGCCTGCAGAATATCTCATAATTGTGTGTCAGTGATGTTCTGTCTAAAGCAAAAGGCAGCAACTAAACGTCTAGTGACCTTTGTTATTGTTTTAAGTTATCATTGTTTTGTGCTTAACTAGCTATTTTTTTATTATTATTGCAAGCAAAGTGTACGTTAAAACATTTTTTCTGGGACTTGTTCACAGGCAGGCCTACGACTAACATACTTTCTTAATCTTTGACTATAAGCTACCAGACAATCAAAGCAATTGAAACATTTAGTTAAAGCCTACGCCTATATCTCTGGTCTCTTGATCTAATACCTAAACATGTTTACTGTTAGTTGTTGGTTTCACTAACAATAGAGCACATTTTCCTCATATAAGGCCCAAATGGGTGTTTGTCTAAGTAGTGATCAGCAATCCAGGTACCTCCTATCTTGTGGCTTCGCCGTCTTCTAAAGTCTCTGAGTTTTATGCCGGGTCTTCTGCATCCACTTGGTTTACAAGAAAGGAGTAACCCTAACCGGTTTGGCTCAGTTGATAGAGTGTAGGCCTGCGGACTAAGGGGTCCCGGGTTCGATTCCGGTCAAGGGCATGTACCTTGGTTGTGGGCACATCCCCAGTGGGGGGTGTGCAAGAGGCAGCTGATCGATGTTTCTCTCTCATCGATGTTTCTGACTCTCTGTCCCTCTCCCTTCCTCTCTGTAAAAAAAAATCAATAAAATATATTTAGAAAAAAAAAAAAGAAAGGAGTAAAGGTGCCACACCCACTTCCTATCACCTAGTCAGGGGTGGGAAAACTTTTTGACTCGAGGGCCACAATGGGTTCTTAAACTGGACCGGAGGGCCGGAACAAAAGCATGGATGGAGTGTTTGTGTGAACTAATATAAATTCAAAGTAAACATCATTACATAAAAGGGTATGGTCTTTTTTTTTTTTTTAGTTTTATTCATTTCAAACGGGCTGGATCTGGCCCGTGGGCCGTAGTTTGCCCATGGCTGATTCCTAGCTCTACAGCCAACACACATCACATTTCATTGGAGAGAACTAGTCACATGGGCCTCACCTTGATGAAAGAGGCCTTGGGTTAGTCATTGGCTGGCAGTAATTTCCCAACTACTCCCCTCTGTGGTAGGGGAAAATACATCATGGGCTCTGTCAGGAAAAGTCATAGTGTTAGAAAGTTCTTGCTGAGAAAATTCTTAGTGGGCATTCATACATTGATCACAGAGCAGGGATTAGTTGACTTATCAATTATTCTGAATAATGAATCTTTCTGCCCCACATGAAAGAATTTATAATATCAATCTCTCATGCCTAAGGCAATAAGCCACTGATAATAAGGCTTTAAAGACTCAAGGTTGTTCTACACTGAAAGTGCCAGGTGTGCCTGCCAATGCCGAAAATCCACCACTGCCACTGGAATCTCAAGATATCAGCCTTCAAACGTGTCTCTCTCTCTAAGCCTTAGTTTCTTGTTATACAAAATGACAAGAATAGGACCTACCTCACAGGGTTGATTTGAAGCCCTAAATAAATAACCACAGTATGCATTCACTGAACACAGGAGAGACTTCTCCAGCAGGTATCCTCATATGATGAATAATCTCAAAAATGCCTGCCTTACCAACAATGTGACAATTGCTGGTTCTTGTAATATCATTTTTACTATTAAGCTACAATTATGATGATTAGCACTACCACAAATAATAAAAATCCCTTCTCGACACTGATTTATATTTAAATATTTGACTCTCATCTCATGACACCATCATAAACTGGAAAACAGACTCACTATTATACCCATTTCAAAGGTCAGAGAACTGAGCATCATGGAGGATCAGTGTTAATGACCAAGATCCCATTTTAACTCAGCCAGAGTGGCCATTTGACTCTTAAACCCACGTCTTTTAAGTCAAGATGATACTACTACACCAAATTTAAACTGAGACCTTGTGGGGAAAATTGAATCATTGAGGAGACGTAGTCTCAACCCCTCATTGTTCAGATGAACTGGAGATGCCTTTGAGGATTTTTCTTTTTTATACCACTGGTCTCAGATTGTCTTGTCTCCTTTAAGATTAGTCTAACTGCACCTCAGTCAGGGGTGGGGAGGAAGCGCAAGTAGTGATGGTGTTGGTAATGTCATTTTACATAAGCCATAAAATGTACAGGGCTCCAAGAAACATGAGTTTCTTGGGGCCCCAGAAGGAGAAAAAGTGGGCACTTTTTCTCTACTCTGGCATAATGGAGACATCACTGGTCAGCATCACCAACTTTAGGGAGGCGAGGGACAGAATGGAATCCACATCTAGGTTTCTTAGGTGTGTTTTTTGTCTTACATTCAACTTGTTGGCCTTTCCCTGATAACTTTAATGACTAATTCTTTAGTGACTTTATTCTTTCTAGTGAGAGAGAAAACAATTTCTGGTAGCCTTGTGTTTGCAATATAAGGTCTTTGGAGACAATGTTTGACCCAGTGTTGGGTGATTCCAACTACCAGTAGCAACTAGCTATAATGGACATGGGTCTTAATGTAGAGAGCAGCCCTCAGGCCCAGACCTGCTGCTGACTGTTGTGTTATCATGAGGGTCCTTTAGATTCTATAGGCCAATGCCCTCATCTGTCAAATCAGGTGGATGATGTGCACCCTAGTCACCTCCCCCACTTTCTTATGGAAATACTGGGTTCAAACAAGGAACTAGATACAGGGGTGGGCAAACTTTTTGACTCGAGGGCCACAATGGGTTCTTAAACTGGACCGGAGGGCCGGAACAAAAGCATGGATGGAGTGTTTGTGTGAACTAATATAAATTCAAAGTAAACATCATTACATAAAAGGGTATGGTCTTTTTTTTTTTTTAGTTTTATTCATTTCAAACGGGCCGGTGAGGCCCGCGGGCCGTAGTTTGCCCACGGCTGATTACTAGAAGGTGCTTGGAGAAGCACTGCATGCTAAATAAATGCAGCAGAGAGTCATCATTATCACTGTGCTATTGCCATTATTTTGTGGTCAGCTCAGCTTTTCTTAACACAGAGCAGTTAATGAAGTGGCAACTGTATTGGTTTCCCACTAGGAGGGAGAAGGGGCCAAATAAAGCTCTATTTTTTATCCCATTTTAGTTTCCAGTTGTGTTTTCTTTTTCACAACAGCTATGTCTAATCAGTTTATAAGTACTTTAATTACAGTGGCATTTCATTATACTTACCCCTAACAAAAAATAGGCTAAGTAAAAAAAAAAAATTTTTAATCCTAAAAATGGTGGATTTCCCTAAAGGCTGAGTTAACTTTCACCAGCAACCAGAACACTACTACCTTTTATCCCACCTCTAAACTTGATACCTATAACTCTTAATGAATTATTTAACAAACTTAAACAATTGTAATTGTACCTGCAAGTTCACTAATAGAGAGAAAAATGACAAAATCCATTAGTCATAAGGGTTTGGTTCATAAATTGTCCACCAGCTGAAATACATTTTTCCTGTTGCCATGAGGAGTTATGGAAATAGGAAATTTAGAAATCAATATAGGCAGACTGGGAGAGCTATATAAAGAGAAAGAATATGTCACCTCTAACCCTGGTACATGGCCATTCTGTTGCTCCCTGCAGCATCTCACATATGCTTGCCTCAGTATAGTCATCGAATAGACAGGTGAACACCTGCCTCATTCGAAGGACAAGATAAATGTTGCAAAGTAGGGAAGTTGGAAGGGGTTTTGCAAACTTATGGCCCAAAGTAACCATTTTACAGATAAGAAAACTAAGGCTCACACAGGCCTATCCAAGGTCATGCAAATGAGCACGTATTAATACCTAAGGGGTGTATATTAGTTTTATATTGTTGCTGTAACAAATTACCACAATTTTAGTGGCTTAAAGTAACAAAAATTTACTATCTTACAGTTAGTTCAGAAGCCTTATATGGCCTAAAACCAAAGAATTGATTGTGTTGAACTCTTTTCTGGAGACTCTGGGAGAATCCATAGTTTAGCCCTTTCCAGCTTTTAGAAATGCCTGCATTCCTTAGCTTGTGGCCCCTTCCTCCATCTTCAAAGCTAACAATGTTGCCTCTCTCTGATCTTTTTTTTTTTTTTTCTGAAGTCACATCTTTAACCACAGCCCTGACTGGGAATTTATCACCAATAGGGGGCATTCAGGAGGCAGCCGATCAATGATT